ATAAATCTTAAAAAAAAAAGACCAAAATCAATCTATTACAATCTATTACTAACTCTTCCATGCTACAATCCGATGGTACTCCGCGATAACATATTGACTAATTCTGGATTCTGGAATTCCTATGATAGTTACAAAGCATTTGTCTCGCTAGCACATATAAAATTCCTTCTTGAATAAAACTCCCTTTTGCTAGTGTGCTTTGAAAATGGAAGGTTTTCCATCTAGAATAAACATTGAGCTCCAGGCCCCTTGCTAGTTTGAGTAAGACTAGGCTCCTGCCCTCTGGATTCAGTAATGAGAAACGCAAACAAACAGTTGTGCAATTTGAGCTGTAATAAAGATAGACACATAGTGTCAAGTGAGACAGAAAAGAAGGGCTATTAACTTTGCCTAGAGAAGAGAAAGTCCCTGGGGAGGGGCAGAGGGGGGTGTTGAAGGGTTAGTAGAGGGTTCCCTAAGAGGGGAAAGGGGTAAAGGCAATCAACTTTGAAGACCGAGTAGCAAGATAGGGTTGATGTTGAGATAAGGATGTTTATAACCAGAAAGGTAAGTTGGGATCTGTTTGGGGAGATCAGAATTTGCCCTTCAGCTTTAAGGAAGTAGGAATCCATATAAGGTAGTAAGAAGGGGAATAATGTGATTCCCTTGTGTTAGTAAAGTAACTGGCAGCCACGTGGATTACTTAAGAGAGTGGTTCCGTGACACAGTGATAGGCAAGATCACCAGGGACAACTCAAGACAGTTTTGCTGTAAAAGTCCAGGCCAGAGAGGATGAAGGACTGACCCTGGGAGGTTTTGAAGAAGAAGAGGAGGAAATAGAATCTTCTAAAATTTTTGGAGATCGGCTTCGAGGAGTAAGAGAAAAGGAGAAGTGAAAATGATTCCAGGTTTCTAATGGGTACCATTACGATAAATAGGGAGTATAAAAGAAGGAAAAGGGAGAGGTCAAGATAATTAGGCAAGTTATAAAGATGCTGATTTGAAGTGTCTCTGGGTAATCTAGGAACAAGTTCAGTAATCTAGGAACAATATTCAGTAACTGGACATAAGAACTATGGCGAATGAGACATCCAATAAATTCTCATTGAATAAATGAACATCAGTAACATGCTTAAAACAGGCCTTTTATTTCCAACTGTGTCTTTGGAAAATATAGTTCTGCTCAACTCAAGGATTTGAATATTAAAGATTATATATTAAATTAACCTAAAGCATCATTATATACTAAAGTGTTTTTCCATGAAAAAATTTTATTCAGTTTTTCAAAAGCTATAAAGATGTAAAGTCACAACTATTTTAAAGACCTATACACAGAAATGCAAAAGAGAACTGTGATATTTCATTCCCGACTCCCACTCTCTTGCCTATTTAAGTACATATTCACAGTGTGCTCACCAATATAATGGCCCTCGGTAAAAACAGACAGAGCAAATAAAACTATCTTATCATCTGCTTTGTATGCCTAGTAGGCCATACAAATTTAATTGCTGATATAAGCTATAAAATTTCAGTACAGTCAACAGAGGTTTGATGGGTAACGTACCTAAAGGAAGACTCAAGAAACCGCAGGCCTGCCCCAGCCTTTATTCTCTCCCTATCAAAGATCAAATTACATAAGTACATAATTCATAATGTGTTTGCAGATATGAGCATATTAATCTTCAACAAAGACAAGGTAAAAGTTATTACTTAATCCTCTCTGCTTATATAATAAAAAGCCAGTTTAGTTTGTGATAAAAGGCAAGAGAATTTCAGAGGTAAGCAACAAACAGAGTGGAAAGAGTCTAAAGGAGAGAGTCCATAACCTTGGCTTTATTCCCAATTCCTACAAGCAAGTTGCTAAGTGACCTTGTAAGATCCGATAGACTATTCGGTAACTTACTTGCAAAGAGTGTTAAACCAAGAAGAATGTGACACCCATTGTGCCTTTCCAAGAGCTTGTCCGAAGACGCCAGGGATTTTCAGGACTGGAAGAAGATCTCAAAGAGCATGGACTCCCCTCTCCAGTATTATTGGGAAACGGCTACCCCATCAAAAATGGCTTCCCCCCCTAACTGTGTGAGAGCTCCAGGAAGAAAACCATTTTTTAAAAAAATTTGTATCAACTCCCAGTTTTCTCATCTATTAAATAGGGAGCTGGATTAGACTGACCTTCTGTACACTTTCTTCAAGCTCTAAAATTCTCCAACTCTGACTGATTCACCCGTAAAATATTCAATTCCTATATATAACATGTAATTTCTAGAATTTATTATGTATCTTATGACCTATGCAGAAAGTACTTGTGTACAGAGAAACACTTCATAGTGTTTCATAATTTTTAGTTTATGACTCAATAAGCTTTGTACATTATTAGACTGTCCTTGTCATGACAGAGATATAAATAAATAAATGAACAAATAAATATTCACCCTTTAGAACTCCAGCACTGAGTATTCTAGATAGCTGTTTTCTAGTTTATAACACTTTATGTTGTATTTTAATTTAGTTGAATGTATACCACAGTCGTTATTTACTATGGAGGAAAGGTGCCCAGCCCTCTGTGAAGGGTCTAGCGAAGAAGACTTAATCTTTTCCGTGGTGGTTCTAACATACATCCGCGTAGTATCTCATACTCCTCCCTGAAGAAGTGGGACCTAGTTCCCTTCCTCCATGAGTTTGGGCTGGATGTAGCAACTTGCTTCTAACAAACAGAAAAATGGAATTGATGGTATGTGACTTCTGAGACAAGATCCTAAAAGGCACCAGCTTCCTCCTCATTGGCTCTCTCTGGGATCACTTGCTTTGGGGCAAGTCAGGGGCCCTGTCCCCAGGACACTCAAGCAGTCCCCGGAGATGCCCACGTGGTAGGAACCGGAGGCCTCCTGCCAAGAGCCAGTGAGGACCTGAGGCCTTCCTCTAACAGCTGTGTGAGTAAGCCAATGCGGAAGCCAGTGAATCTTCCAGACCCAGGCAAGGGGTCAGGTGACTGCAGCCCCTGCCAAGAACCTGAATGCCACCCCTTTAGACCGCCCCCCCATGCCAGAACCACCCAGCTCAGCTTCCCCTGACTCCTTGACCCACAGAAATTATGAGATGATAAATGTTGTTTTGAGTCACTAAGGTTTGGGTCATTTTTTTATGTAACGATAACCAAAGCATTGACCTGTAAGGATTTCCACCTGAGCTGAGGCACTCTTTCTTTTCAAAAAATGATTGAATTCTAGAATACAATCATATAATTTTAAACTTGGATAGGACTTCAAACAAGAGTCTGCCTCTTACTTTGCAAAAGCAGAAATGAGGATCTGCTGAGTTCGTCTTGCTCAAATCTGATGTGCTTCCATTATTCCCGATCTCAACCAGAAATGCAGGAGCCATCCTTAACACTTGCTCTCCTTCACCTCCTTCATACCCAACCTATTGCTTAATCCTATTGCTCTTACCTCCTCTTGCCTCGGTCTAATTTTTCCTATCTCTGCCACTCCCAACCAGATCACACAATGGTTATCTCTTCTGGACCAGCAATAGCCTTCTGACTGGTCTTCTTGTGTCAGCTCATGCGCCGCCTACAATTATTTCTCAATATTGAATCCAGAGTTAATTTGTTGAAATGTAATTATGATTACCTCACATCTCCTTCCCATCGCCTCCCCGCCCCAGACCCATTTGTTGACCTCTTATTATTATTGGTCATGGTTTGCATTTATTCTCCAAGCTAAAGCCATTCTGACCATGTGTAATTCCTAGAATATGCCAGTCCCCTCCAGGTCACTAGGACTTTGCATATACAGTTCCCTGTGCCCCATTGATCTAGTTGACACCTGATCATCCTTCAGATCTCAGTCACAGTCAAGCCTGCCTGGGCCACCCTGCTACTGGGCACAACTCCATGTCACTTGTCCTGGTGGGACTTCAGAGCAGTTGTATTGTTTATTAATTCATAGATTTTTTTTAATTGATGTCTGTCCTCTCTATTACACTGCAAGTCTATAAATGTAGATACAATGTCAACTTCTTTTCATTCTTGTGCCTTAGTACTTACCAAGGTGTCCAGAGAATTATATGGTGTTCAATAAATATTTGCTGAGTGAATGAATGAAATGACCCAAGAAGTTAGTGTGAGACTAAAATCTAGGTTTCCTGACTCCAAATTTCATGTTAATTACAACGTGCTGCTCTCAATTGGGTGCACTCAAGTCTGAGTCCCAGCACAATGCATTTATTAAGTGCAAAGAAAATCGCTGATACTTTTCGAATATTGTTTTTGGCAACACTAATGGTATATAATATCTAGGCATGGTTACTGTATTAAAATGACAAAGTCCTCATGCAGCCTTGTTTACTTTGTGACTTTGCCGCTTATTTCCCACAGAAATACATCTGTGATGGTTAATTTTATGTGTCAGTTTGATTGGTTTAAAGGACACCCAGATAACCGGTTAAAAAAAATATTTGGGGGGTTATGTCTGTGAAGGTGTTTCTGGAGAGGTTAACATTTGGTGCAGTGTACTGAGTGAAGAGATCTGCCTTCACCAGTGTGGGTGGGTATAAAACAATCTCCGGGGGTCCAAATGGAACAAAACGGTGAAGGAAGGGCTCCTTCTCTTTCTTTTTGAGTTGGAACGTCCATCTTCTCCCATTCTTGACCTTCCGAGCTCCTGCTTCCTAGGCCTTCAGACTCCAGGACTTAGGCCAGCAGCCCCTTTGTTCAGGCCTCTGACCTTAGGCTGGGAGATAGACCACTGCACCCTGGGCCTCAGGCCTTCAGACTCAGACTGAATTATACCGCTGGCTTTCCTGGCTCTCCAGCCGGCAGACAGCTGATCATGGGACTTCTTGGCCTCCGTAACCACATGAGCCAATTCCAATACTAAATCTTCTCAAATATTTATCTGCTGGTTCTGTTTTCTCTGGAGAGCCCCAACTGGGTACAACCGCCATTACTCAAAACAATCCAAAAGCCACTTTCACTGTAAGTCCCTTTTACACAACATTGAGAGTTAATAAGTTCGTCACTGAAGTCCATCCTCACCCGTGCTGGGCAGCCCGTGGCCCACCAGGTCTCCCTCGTGGATCGGAGCTCTCTAGAAGCCTCACCCAGAGGCATAAGCAAGGCCTCAGGGGGCTTGTGGACAGGAGCTTCTAGACACTCCAGGAAAAGAAAAGAAAAAAAAAGGTAGTAATTGGATGTACGAATGCTTTTCTACTTAAGAAGATAATATGTCCTATGTAATGATTACAGAAAAGTTGGAGAGATGGTCTGAATCCGAACTGGCTGTTACGGGGAAATCCCTAGCTGTTACTGGTAACTATGTGTGAAGAAAGGGGGGAGGGGGAAAGCTGCAGGCCCTTTGCAAATCCACTTGGGTCCTGGATTTTGTCCAATTATTAATCTTGGGAGTACTTTCCAAAGCACTGGGCTGTGCCTCTGTTCCCGTCCTCAGAATTCCTTCTTTGAGCATTGCGATCTGATTCGAAAAGAGGGTGACCAGGGTGGTGCTGACGCATTGAGGTGGTGACCAGCCACTGCTCTGACCTACTCTCAGCTCTCTGTGAGACATGGTGCTTCCAGGCGCATGTACCGGATGCTAGGGTACGTTCTTCAGGGGAAAAAAAAAATAAAAGAATGACTTCCCCAACTAGTGAAGAACCTTTTGGCCCAAAGGTATGCTATAAACTACTTTGGAATTTGAAAGGTGTTTTTCTCTTTTTCCTCTGGCAATGACTTTGAAGGGTGGCTTGATGCTGAGACTAGCCAGCAGAAGCTCATGAAAACATAATGGACTCCACTGATGGTACTCTGCAGCCAACCGAGGTTTGTAAACATGTTTCCATTGGAACATATACAGGGGTTTCAACTTGAGATGACAAAAACGTGTACCCTTTTTGACCGATTGAAATTCATTCATTTAACTGTCAGTCACTGACCCAACACTCATTGAGCATTGACTATCTTGTAGGCTCAGTTCTAAGTTCTGGGAATATAAGATTAGCAAGACTATTCTTCCCCCAAGAAACTCAGTCTACTGGGAAGCACAGTGTCACAAACAAAAAATTACAAAATCATTTGACAGGTGCTCTAACTAAGCCTTCTCCCCTGAGCTCCAGGCTCATCTATTTATTCATTTCTTACTTAGCATCTCTACTTGGTGCCCAGGGATACCTCAAATTTAACACGCCCAGGACCGAACTCATCATCTTCTCTACCTTCTCTACTAAACCTCCTTCTTCCTTCCTTCCCCTTCTCCTTCGTGTGTGTTCCATCTCATTGTGAAACCATCTCCTAGCCAGACCTCCATCCTAGAATACTGAAAATAATTCTGAACCCATTCAGCCCCCACTTTCCATCAGTCATCAAGTCCTGCAAATATTATCTCTTAAAGAGGAGCGCCTGGGTGGCTCAGTCGGTTGAGTGTCTGCCTTTGGCCTGGGTCATGATCCCAGGGTCCTGGGATCAAGTCCCTCATGAGGTTCCCTGCTCATCGGGGAGCCTGCTTCTCCCTCTCCCTCTCCTGCTCCCTCTGCTTGTGCTCTCTCTCTCTCTCTCAAATAAATAAAATCTTAAAAAAAAAAAAAAAAAGGGTCCTACAGTCCACCCCCTCCTCCCTAACTCTGCTACTGTCTTAATCCAGGATGCTTCCCACCTGGAATCCCAGGCCAGTGTTCTGACCCTCTCAAACATATCCTTCACAGAGTGTGATTGCCTGGGTTTTCTAACTGGAGAGCCTAGCACAGAGCCTGACCCACAGTAAATACTACTGTAATTAACACCAAGCATTAATGTAGATGAGAAGCACAGACAGGTCAGCTTTCTGAATGGAGAGTGTTTTGTTTGTTTTATGCTAGTCTGGAATGTCACAAAGGTGACCAGGTCACTGGACATCTGGCTTACAAACCCTAAATTTAGAAGAGATGATGCAATGTAATGGTAAAAACACTGATGTCTGGATCCAGTCCTGCCATGTAATGCATCTGAAATAACATCTGATGCTGTTTTTTCTTCCTTTCCCTTCATTTCATTCATATGGAATGCCAATTTTCTACTTGAACAGTTAGGATTCAGTTTAGCAGACAGTGACAGAAAACCCCACATAATAGTCCTTTAAAAAGATAGAAACTTTTCTTTCTCAAAATGATATCCAGATAGGCAGCCTAGAGCTGGCGTTGTGCCTGCCCATTCACCAGGGACCCCAGCTCCTGTTGTCTTTACGCTCTGCCATCTTCAACATATGGCTTCCACTTCATGGCCAAAAGGGCTGCCCCAGCTCCAGCCATCATGGTCCCATCAGAGGAAAGATGGGTAAAGACAAGAGCATATCCATTTTTAGGGGCACCTGGGTGGTTCGTCGGTTAGGTGTCTGACTTCTGCTCAGGTCATGATCTCGGGGTCCTTGGATCGAGCCCTGCACTGGGTTCCATGCTCAGCGGGGAGTCTGCTTCTCCCTCTCCCTCTGCCCCTCCTCCTGCTCATGCTCTCTCAAAAAAAAAATCTTAGGGGAAAAAAAAAAGAGAGAGAAAGAGAAAGAGAAGGGCATCTCCATTCTTTTAAGGACCCTTCCCATAACAGGGAAACCTCAGCAAGGGAGTCAGTGGGCAAATGGCACAGGCACGAGGGGTGTCGCCATCCCGTGGCATCTGCATGAAGTCAGAAGATGTGCAGAGCTGGTACTGCAGCAGCAGTGGGGCCCAAACAAGAGGCCAAAATCTGAGACAGAGGAGGCTGAATGATCTCAAGTGTCACCTAAGAGACGTCTGATGCAATACACAGCTCGCAGTCTCCACCGCACCTCTCCGAGTTTGGGTGGGCCTCTCGCCGACAAAGCCAGTGTGCCCGGGGGTACTCAGTGCCTGATCCCGAGACACTTGCACAACTCGGTAGCAGCACCACCTGCTCCAGGCCAGGTGAGCTGCGAAGAGCGTCACTGTCACTGAATCGTTCCAACAAACTTGGCTGGAAGGGAGTATTTCTTCTTTTTGTTTTTGTTTTATGTGTGAGGAGACAAACGGAAATGTGAACAGGACTGGTAATCCGGGAGGTCAGGATTTCCACTCGGGAAATCACCCAGGGCTTACACTCCGCTCTGCTGCAGGGCGTGAATAATGAGAAAGTTGTAAAATCAGGGTGGGATTTTAAAAAAGATACTTTTGGGAAAGTAAACTTCATGATCTTAAAGAACATGTCAGTATCTGATGGAAAAACCTAACGATTTTTTCTTCTCCACTGTAGAATTCCATCCAATCATTCCTGCCCGGAAATGCGCGGTGCCTTTGGTGGCCAGGTTCTCCTGAAAGGGCAGAGGCCTGGGGACATGTCTCCTTGCCAGGCTGGCTCCTTTATTCCATCCTTTCCTCCCAGAGGATCCAAGTGTGACCCTAGCTTTCTTCTAGCATTGCCCCATATTCCCCAGCTGAGCTTTCTTCTCTCCTTGGCCCTGAAACAAGTGTCATTGTTTCTCTCTGCCTTCTTCCTCTCTGTGCCAGAAAATGACTCTGAGTGTTTCTGAGGAATTTTACAGCTTTCAAAAGAAGAAAAGCATATAAGGGGTTGAAATAACATCATAGAGAAATTTCAAACTTAGAAGCAGCCTAAAGAGCTTGATCGTAAACCACTTACTCATTTTTCCTGGGAATGCAAATATAACTAGGTCAGACTGTCTAAGGTTCCTTCTTTCTCTGGCCCATCATTTTGGTAAAAACTGGATCCAGACAATCCAGTTCCTTTATCTCTCATTTACTCGCAGGGCTGGAGCCTCTGAGATCTGCTTCCTTTGATGGGGAAGGCATCATCCTTCCCACTTCCCCCGATCTCCTCGGGAAGTCTGCGGGGGGAGAAGTACAGATCCTGACGAAGAGGCTTGACAAAGGCTCAAGTATGTTTTAAATTTCAAAGAAAACTCAAGACTGCTCATCTTTAGAGTGGTCACGTCATTCTTTGCACCGGAAGTCATGTCAGGCTGTTCTGACAGTAACATCCCCATCCAAGGTGTCTTTCTTTGGTGGTGTTTTACTCTTCACCTGTTTTGACTCCAAGGTAACATTTAGCAAACAGCCAGGCACGGGGCATAAGACACTTGCACGTAGCCTTTCCATACCACTTCTCATCATCTCAACACATTTTTATAGCATCCTGCAACATCTAACGAATATGCATTATTTACCTTTAAATCACAGTTTAGATCATTCCTCTGAGGAAGCTCCTGTAGAGCTCATTCATAGCATATTTATCCACTCTTTGGCTTCAAATAGTACAAGTTTTTGTCTGCTTCTTTACCATTTTTCTTCTTGAAGACCCCCACCGAAAGCTGATCTAACATTGACCTCTGGATGTTGGCCCTGCCTGAATTATCTTGAGGGCCAAGGGCCCTAATGCATCACAGACTATCTGAGGCTAGACCGTTCATTGGTGCTAGACCAGCAGGAGCACATCAATCATTTAGGTAAAGGTCAGCACCATTAAAGACCATAAGACTCAGCATCTTGTAGAATTCATGAAAATGAAAAGACCCTAGCACTTGACCTGTGTCTTAGTTTTGTCCCTGATACAACACAATTAAAAAACAGGGCATCTATTTTTTAGATTTATCTAAAAATCTATTTACAGGGCACCTGGTGGCTCAGTCGGTGAAGCGTCTGCCTTCGGCTCCAGTTGTGATCCTGGAGTCCTGGGATCGAGTCCCACATCGGGCTCCCTGCTCAGTGGGGACCCTGCTTGTCCTTCTCCCTCTGCCACTCCCCCTGCTTGTGCTCTCTCTCTCTAATAAATAAATAAAATATTTTTAAAAAATACAAATCTATTTACAACAGGGATCTAAACAGGCTGTAGATCCTAGAATGACTCGTCAATGTTTTAATCATTCATAGTATATAAAATTATACTTGATATTTTTTTTAAAGATTTTATTTATTTATTTGACAGAGAGAGACACAGTGAGAGAGGGAACACAAGCAGGGGGAGTGGGAGAGGCTGAGCAGGGAGCCCATTGTGGGGCTTGATCCCAGGACCCCGGGATCATGACCTGAGCCGAAGGCAGACGCTTAACGACTGAGTCACCCAGGCGCCCCTTGATATTTTTTTTAAAGATTTTTTCTTTTTATTTATTTGACAGAGAGAGAGAGACAGCCAGAGAGGGAACACAAGCAGGGGGAGTGGGA